GAGAGAGACTGGAAATGACCGACTCCACACAATCTGGGGAAGCTCCTATTAACTCAGGGCACCTTCGAGAAGCAGCCTCTTGAGATGCTAAGGAGCAACTGGCCCCAGCTCACTACACATGCGACCCTGGCGTCCCTGTGCTTGGAGAGTCTCTCCCAGGGACAGCTGGACACAAGCTGCTTCAGACAAGGTGAGGCCAAGTGAAGCAAGGACCAAACAGTGTCCTCGTGTGATGCTTTTTTGAAATCAGGGCAAATCTGGGTGGGAGCAGTAAAGGGTAGAATTTGTCAGACGCCTGGCCGATGGAGTCGAACAGCCTTAGCTGTGCAGCCACCCATCACGCAGCAGCTGCGGGAGCCTCCTCCTGCACAGAGTGGGAGTAACCAGACCCACCCCCATGGAGACAGTCCAAGAACCAAATGGAAGGAGGCGTGTGGGAGGTCTGGCTCTGGGCTTCTAGCAAGGGCTCCATACAGGTTGCGTTCGTTTCTGGCCTCCCTGCCCTGTTCCTGTGCTTGCCGTCCCCTCCCCTTAAAAGACCATCACGCTCCTTTCTGTTGAACTCCTACCTATCCTTCCAATCCCAGTTCCATCGACACTTCCTCAGCAAAGGCTCTCCGGCCCGTCCAGCCTAACAGGCCCAGCACTTCTGCTCAGACTTCCACAGCACACTATTCAAGGCACCATGAGGCACACAGCAGGGCCATCTGTCCCTGCCAAGGGACAAGGACCAGAGAAGGCTTCCTGGAAGAAGATGCATTCAAGCTGGACTCAGAGGACAGAGAGCCAAACAACAGTGGAAAGAGCATTCTAGGCAAAGGAAGCCATGTGTACAAAGGCCAAACAATCCAGAGAAAGCATGGAGGATGCGAGGCGTCCCAGTCCCATGGGACGGGCCTGCTCTGAGCACCCTGGGTAAATAGTACCTCCTGTTCTCTAACGTAATCCTGCATGGACTTCCTTCACTGCCAGACAGTTACGTTACATATTCCTTTGTTTATTGCTTATGTCCTGAACTGAAATTCTAAGTCCGTTAGGGCAGGTACCTTATTATCCTCATTCACCTCTGTATCCCTCTCACGACCCCTGATGGCTGAGGGTTTAACAAGCGCTAGATTCTGAGTTCCAGGGAGACAGGGACCTGGCTATCGGGTTCACTATTAAATTCCCCGCGTCCAGCACGAGGCCCAGTCCCCAGTAGGAACTTAGTAAATATTTGTGGTTGAATAAATATTGTCTAGAGAAGAGACTCGAGTTGCTGAGTGAATAAGTGCAGGAATGGATGAGTGAATGCAAGCACGCATGGGTATCTATGTATCAAGCACATAAATGGACAGACGAACAGATGAATGGATTAGGTCACACATGAATGCACATTCTCACATCCGTCCACTCCAAGCCCAGAGGCGCCTCTCTTAGGCTGTCTCACTTGGTCTTGTTAAGCTTCAGAGCCTTCTATCTTGCCTGCGCCCTAGCCATTCATAGCTTCTTTTCTCATCCGCAGCAGCTGAGTTTTCATTGTCACCGGGGGCAACAGGCCATTTCCCCCCCGCGGCCCTCTACCCTGAGTCCCGGGAGCGCTCCGAACTCTCAGCCGTCTTTGAGGAGGTCAGCTGACCCCAGTGCCTGGACCTCTTCTCATTGTTTGGCATTTTTACAGGAGCCTCCGATGGGAATTGTCGGCATTCCATTCTCCCAGAGAATGGGATGTGAATCTGGCCCGTTTTTATTGATTGCAAATTAACGCTACACTGAGCGTCTATTTTGGTAGACATGCTTCTCTGCCGAGTACGGAATGCAACCCAAGGAAGCACATTGCTTTCATTCTTTCTGCTGACTGACTGTGTGACTATTTTTAGAAGCCACGCCCTCTTGCAGTGGCCAGATAAGTAATTCCTAACGCCAGATGTGCTCTTTGCAAATCCACATCAGGCAGGGAAGGGGACAGAAACAGCTGCGTGGCTCACACCAAATGGCGGGGACGTGTCACAAGTTTAAACTAGTAGCATTTTGATAGGGCTTCTGGGCCAAAGCCCCCCACCCTTGGGATACGGAAGATGCACCCACATTTAAAGACACAGAGGGGGCTCTGAGAGGTTGGTAATAGGCCATCAGTGTCAATGGTCCCCCGGTCCAGACACTGATGTCACGGGCCCTGTGTCTGGGCCTGCCTGCCTCTGTCACAAGTGCCCTTTCAGCAAAATGCTGACTCGGGAAAGCTGAGCACATCCAGCCGGAAGACGAAATCAACACCAGCTGAAACACATTTCTAAAAACTCTGGAAGTGGGTGTGAGATGATGAAAAAGAGAATTTGTCTGGACGTCAAACATGTGAGTTCTAATCCCAGCTGTCACCCCTTCCCTCCCAGTCACAGAGCCTCGAGAGCACCTACTGTGTGACGAGCACCATGCCACACTCCGCCAGGGAGACAAAGACACGATAATAGAGTCTCAAGACCGATTCGCCTTGTGTGATTCCGGGCACATCACTCAGACTTTCTGGGTGAAAACGAGGGGCTGGGAAGTGACCCTGGAGGTCCCTTCAAGCTGCAGGACTCTCCAACCCTAGCGGTGTTCTTGGAATAAGCAGAAGGAAGGACCAGTGCCAGAGAAAAGCGAGGGCTGGTTTCCGTTTGGGGTGTGCGTGTGTGTTTTTCCTTGATAGGTGCCAAAAGGAGAAAATCTTCAGGATTAAGAATCCTAAAGAAAAAAGATATGACCAAAACCTTTACTTCTGTAATAAGCTATTTGTCTGCTATTTCCCTACCAAATGGACGTGGGTCCTGATGGAAGGCCTTGGTCTTGGGGGCCGGCAGGTGCCCCGACATCATGGTGCTATTGCTTATGCCAGCGAGCCGTTCTCCTGGGCTCCTGCTTATTGTTCCCAGTACAATTGCTTCAGAATTGTAACCATTCTTCTGCACTGGGCAATTCTATGACTCCCTAGGAAGCTATGTGCCTTATCATTTCTGGAACTACATCATGGGAGCAAGAGGTCACACGACTACAGAAACCAATCCCCAAGCGACAGGCTCACATTCCAGGCCTTGTAAAGGCTACATTTAGCTCTGAGAGCTCTGGGGGCAGGTGGAGGGAAGAATCTGCAGACAAAGTTACCAGGATGGATGACACAAGCCCTTAGAATGTGCCCCTCAAACCAGAACCCAATTCTCTAGCCACAGCCTGACCACCAGGTACCTTCAATTTCCTCTCCAGTGGCCAGCAATTTAAGCAGGTTCTTTGGACAATACAAGTTAAGTGCTAAGTGCTGTGACCATATAGTGTCTAAATTCCTTAGATCTGTCATTGACTCCCCGGGACTGGGCTCAGGGCATGGCACACAGTGACAACTTGACAGCTGTCATGAGAGATGGGGGCTGGCATCCCTACGGACAAATGAGGAAACTGAGGCTTAGACAAGCAATTGGTTTACCAAAAATTAGTAACAAACAGGGCTGCAATTCAAACCCAGGCTACGCAATGTCAAAGTCACTGCTCTTAACTTTGACTCACTGCACAACGGTGAGCAGTTTATAAACTAAACACAGAGCATCCGATTTACTCCTCAATACAAGCCTGTGGGCATTGCTGTCAGCCCACTTTATAGTTGAGGAAACGTGTGAGGTGGATTTCCCTATGTCAAGGGTAGAATTTTCTAACTCTACACCTAGTCTCCTTCTCAAACACCCCAGCCACTTTGCCAGAATTAGAGGAACCCTGAGATTTCACTTCCTGTTCCTAGAAGAACTGCTTTGACCAACTGTCCCCTCTTTATTCTAAGGGCTACACAGAAATAGATGACCACGGTCAACCACTTTCAAGAACAAGATGTCACCAGACATGGCTTCCAGGGGCCTCTCAAAGGATGATGGTGACCAGTGACATCACCATGATCTGAAATCCAAATGCCAAAGCAGCGCATTTCCATCCAAGCAGGGGAACCATTTCCCCGCAACACACCCCCTCAACTTAGATCAGCAGCAACAACAGCAAAAGAGGACGATGCAAGGTCATTCCCAGGCTTTATCCAGGGACCAGAGACAAGCCACTAACGTCACCAGCGGCTAATTAGGTGGATCCCCCTGGTGCTGGGAGCACTAAGGCCATTTCATAATGAAACCCATGCAGCGAGCTCCATTTATCTTGAAACCATATTTGCTTATTTTGCAGATGTGATCAAAAGGATGTTCAGAGTGTTCTGCAGGAGGCCCTTGAACCCTACAGGCCAGGAGAGCTTTCTCCAGCGCCAGCAGCAGCCAGCAAAAATACTCTCCATAAAAGTAAACTCCATCCCGTGACGGGATGCTCTTCCCCAACAGCGGGCACCACCGTCACTTCAATCAGCCTCCCAGTCCCACGGCAGGTTCCGGGGGCGGGAGGGTTGGGAGGAAGAAGGAGGACACATGGGGTGGGAGTGACAGAAAGTGGCGGGGAAAGAGTCCCAGCTCTAAAATAACTTGGGAACCTGCTGGCACATCGAGCATCGCAGTTCAAACTTGAGTTCATGAGTCAGACAGACATGGGTTCAAACCCCAGCTCCACTACCTACCACTGTGTTACCTTGGGTAAGTTACTTCACTTCTCTGTGCCACCATTTCCCTGCCCCTGAAATGATGTAAATAAGAGTACCTATCTCATGGGCTTCTTATAAAGATCAAGTTTAAACACTGTCAGACAAATATGATTTGAAATACCTATGCGAAGTGTTATTGTTTTAAGTGTTACTTTTACAGCGATGGTTGTAGACCATGAACTTGCTGAGGACAAGGACTGTACTTCAGTCGCCTGATTATGCCAGCATGAAGAAGAATGGCATGTGGTTAAACTCGAGGAAGTGCTTACTGAATTTAATTGTTGGAACTGAGGCCTCAAGCCCAGAGACTCTGCCAGGAAGGTAGGGAAACAGCCGCCTTATTTCTAGGCTGTGGTCTGGAGCAGCACCAGCCCCACCGATGCCATCCCCAGGCCCTGCATACCCACCACTGAGGCGAGAGGTTTACCTTAATATTGCAGTTGTCATCCAGCAGTATATTTTCCAGCTTCAAGTCCCGGTGGACCACACCGTTCTGAAATGAGAGGACAGGCGGGGAACTGAATGGAAGCGGATGGGACAAGAGAGACCAGGAGGAGGAAGGCGGAGGCAGAGTGCAGGGAAGCATCAGACAGATGAAACAACTGCACCAGCCCGGTGGTCTCTGCCTCTGTCCTTCGGGGCTGCTCCCCTTGTCGTGAAGCTCCCGCCAGGGACCAGGGACAGAAGAGCATTAGTCACTCGCTATGTGGTTAAGGGAAAAATGACTGGAATCCATTCTCCCCCAGAGCCTGTAAAACAGCAGGGGGATCCTTTGTCAGAATGTCGTTCCACTGTGTGCGAGCAATAGAGTCCCAGACGGTGGCACACAGTGTCTGTCTGTGATGCAATTCCCAGGAAAGACTCAGATCTCGCTGCTGAAACTCAGAATGCAGGGCCCACAGCCCTTGCTTGTCTGTCTGTCCATCCATCTGTCTGCCTGCCTGCCTCCTCAATGCTGGAAAGAAGCCTGACTCAATCTATTCTGACCCGTGAAGCCAATCCAGATCTGTTCTGAGGATAACGAAGGTGCTCTCAAGGGTATTTCCTAAGCAGCCAGGCAGGAAAATTTTAAGTCCCCATCTGCTCAGCGGCACTCAACATAGGTGAAGGGTGAAGGTCAGTGAGGCTAATGAGACTGTAGCCACTGGGTTGACCAAAGCAGGTCACTGCTATACTGGGTGACCTTTCCATTCAGGCAAACTCTGGCACGACGGGCAGCTGAGCTGCAGTGACAAGCAGCCAGCCAGCTGAAAGGAAAAAAGGAATCAGCAGCCAGTAGACTGCTGGCTTACACAGCAGCAGCAACTGGTGTGCTCAGTTCTCTTTGAGAACCTAATGCTCTTGGATGGGGGCGGGTAAGCATGGGAAGAGGAGTGGAGCTGAAAGAACCAACTATTTGGGGGCCGGGCAGATAAAGAGCAGGGAGAACGTTTTGAACATCATTCAGCCCAAAGGACATTTACAGTTGAAGCTGCACTTTTAAGCAAATGAACTGGCTAGAAATTCTTTATCATTCAGTCAAGATCTCCTTAGTTCAGCATCTGCCTGTTCACAGTCAGTTCTTTATTCTTTTCCTTTCCATTTGACAGTTCCTGACACCTTTTTGGACACCTCCAAAAGTACTGACTGGAGAGATGAAAAAACATGCATTTCTGCGATTCTCCGTCTAATCCAAACCTTCGAGGATGCGTTTTGAATGCAGAAGTGCGCAAACCCAGGAGGAAATCCTGGAGGAAAATACAAGGTACCTGATTCTGCTTTGTTTTAAATGTTGGGGGTAGTTCATTTACACTGTTGCATTCCTGGTTTTTCACAAGAAGATGGGATGAGTCTAATAAAGCCCCATACACCAGGAACCCAAGTATTCAGACACATCAAATAATAAAAACATGGTCTGTAATAATTCCTGATGGTGCCTGATGGTAAAATACAAAATGTTGTATGATCTGAATCATCACGGGCTTGAATCAGCAAGGAGAAGTTAAATAATGATCACCTGGGTTATGGATTTTAGACCCGAATAATCATCTTCTAATTACTCCCAGAGCCACTAGCAATTCGCCAGAATGCTTGACACACCGGAAGACCCCAGAACGCAGCCACGTGTATGAGGACGCGGACCGTGTTTCAGGTGCCGTGTTGGATTCGATTACTATTGCACTGAAAGCCAATGTTCAAGCTTTGACAGTTCTGGGGGGAGTATCAGCAAGGAGATTAGTAACAATAATGGCTGAGCTGCGGCTTGGAACGACCTGGGTACTTCACCGCCTTCTCCAGAGGCCATGCGTGGCTGCACTGTGGCCGCCTTACCAGTGCATCCCAGTAGGTGTCTGGCAATAGAATGTACCTGGGCACATACAACCAAACCTCGGTTCTCGACCGTCTTGGCTCCCGAACACTTTGGTTCTCGACCAAGTGGCTCACAGAAGAAAGGTCTCGGTTGTCAAACAAAACTTCGCGTCTCACTTCCCTGCCTGACAACCGTTTCATGCTGAGACCCGTGTGATCAGCCCCCCGTGTCTCACAAGCGACAAACAGAGGACATTCGGTTTTCAAACAAATCGCTTCTTGAACAGTTTTCTGGAACAAATTAAGTTTGAGAACCGAGGTTCCACTGGGTAACCCCTGTGGACATGGTCAGTGCAACAAACGGTACCAAGAGCATAGAAAGGTTCAGAAGCTATGACTCAGTAACTGCACTTCTAGAATTTCTCTTAAGTAAATTATTCAAATGAGAGGAAAAGGTTACCAGAAGTTGGAACCAGCCTGAAGTCCCAACCATCACAATAATTGCAGAGAATTTTTAGTAACGTAGGAAAATGTGTAGATTATATACTAAGTTAAATAGCGGGACACAAACTATATAAAAGCATACAATGTGTTGCTACTGGAACAGAGAGAGGCCATTGGTGGAAAACTGGTGAAATCTCAGCGAAATCTGGAGTTTTGTTAATGGCAACATATGAGTGTTGATACACTCATACTCTAGCAACTTACTACGCTGAGACGTGATCACAGCATCAGCTGAGTGAGTGGTACGTGGGAACTCTCTTTCCTGTCTGGGAACCTGCTATACATCTAAAATTATTTAAGATATGAAGTTTAAACAAAAAAAAAAACAAATGGCAAGGATAGGAGGAAGGAGAGTGGGAAGAAACAAATAAAAACGTCAATAGTGGGTTATCACTAGATTCTGGAATCATGGGTGGTGGTAATGTTCTCCTGTCCATTTTATAAATTCTCCGTAAGTTCTACAATGAACAGACATCGCCCTTGTACTGTGACAGTGAAATCATGTGATGCCGTGAAAACCATCTGTGGCCAAGCTCGGGCCGGGCCGGTACCTTGTGACAATAGTGGACGGCGGAGACGATCTGCCGGAAGAAGTGTCTGGTCTCCCTCTCGCTGAGGCGCCTCCGCTCGCTGATGTAGTCGTACAGCTCTCCTTTGCTGGCGTACTCCATGATGATCACAATCTTGTCTTTGTTCTCGAACACTGCAGTGGGGGACAGCAATGGACAAACACCCTGTTTATCCAACAAGCTCCCTTATGACTACCCAGAGTGCAAGAGAGGACAACAGAGATGTCACTGAGCGTGGGGCGGGGCAAACAGCAGCCGGCCAGGACACAAGTGGGGCCATTCAACATCCTGAGGAGTTGGGCGAGTCTTCCAGCCAGGTGGACAATGACATCATCACTATTGTTACTGGACACACCTTTGTCACACTAAGGGAACATGTCTCTGAGGGTCCCGCTCCCCTTACCGGGACCCTCATTCTCACCAGCCCCTCCCCCCAGACCAGAGCCCCTACAGAAGGGGATGATGGGTAACAACACAACAACCACGTGACATGGGCCAGCTACCCAGACCCCAAGCTACTCTCACCCAAAGTGGGAAGCTGATCTCCTCCCCTCTTTGCTCAAAACCTTCCAGACTTTCCATCTTACTTAAAATAAAACCCCAGGTTTCGAGTGTGGCCCACCAGGTCCCTTACACATCCGTCCATGTATTTGTTTATTTTGCCTCCTCCATTAGCATGTAAATGAGGCTGTTCTATCTCATTCACTGACGTATCCCCAGCACTCAGCATGCTCGTAGGTGTAGGGGCTTCGTTAGTGTTCGATAAATGAGTGCACTCAAAACTTCATGGATGCCTTCTGGACAACTACAGTAAACAATCACATATCACTAAATGCTTCTCACTCCCCACCCCTGATATGCTCTAGCAGTGATGTTCAAACTCTGCTCACAGCACTCCTAGAGCTCCAGGCAGATGCCCAGGGGCCAGGCTGGGGGGCCCTGAAGGACAGGCTCTGGCCTTAGCCAAAGGGACTCCATCACTGTGTTTCATATTTGGTCCTTTGAGATGTTCCTTGAGCAAAGACAAAATAAATACCGTATTTTTTAGACTGTAAGATGCACTCTGCCCCCCGCCCCACCAAATTTGGGAGGAATAATAGTTGTTAATGCTGCTGTTGAGTTCTGTTTACATTTTACATTGGTGAAATATTGTGTTATTTATGTTATAAAATATTTTACCACATTTTTTTGCTTCAAAATTTTTTTCCTATTTTCCTCCTTTAAAACCCAGGTGCGTCTTATTGTCCAAAGAAGGGTAATAGTTGTTTTTGAAATCCATCACCCCTAAGCAATATGCTACCAAACAAACAAACAAACAAAACGGAACAGAAACCTTCGTAGGCTACCCAAGACCTTCCCTGAAGGACCCCTGCGTACCTCCCTCCACCTCATCAGCTTCTACCAGTCCCTGGCAGCCCACTGTGCCCACCAAGGCAGGACTGTTTGCTGCTTCTCACCATCTCTCTCAGTCTCTCTCTCTCTTACACACACACACACGAACACACACACACACACACACTCTCTGCTGTTTCCCACCTCTGTGCTTTTCCCTCCGACTACTACCTGTCTTTCCTGCCAGGGAAACGCTGGCCTGTCAGTCAAGAATGAACTCAAACATGGACCGATTTTGCCTCCCTCTGCTTCTCACTGTGCCCTGGTCCACACCGGCACCACACGACTTTCATACTACATGACTTTATTTGCTGGTTTCCATATCCAGTCCCTCTGCCTGGGCTTTGAGAGGTAAACTCTCAATGGAGTTTTGGAATGAGACACTGCTCAGTAGGATTCGTGCATGTGGCTCTTACTTGCTGTGTGATTTTGGGGATGTTGCTTGCCTTCTCTGTGCCTCAGTTTAGTCAACTGCAAAATGTACATAATATTAACAAGGACCTCTTAGAACTGCTGGAAGAATTTATTGATACAAGGTATGTTAAATGCTTAGAATGAAGCCTGTAGCTGTTACTGTTCATATCAGTATAATTGGATCCCAGGGCCCTACCACTGAAACACACACACACACACACACACACACGCACGAGAACTGAGTTAAACTGGAATGTGCCCAGGCCTGGGTCCCCCGGCCTCCCACACCTTGTCACTGGCTGCTAGAAGCTCAGGCCCCTCCAGTTCCTTTATGGCTCCTTTAAGTCCAGCCAAACCTCTCTGATAAAATGAAGGGGGGAAGGAGGAGGACAGGGAGGAGGAGGAGAGAGAGAACAGCCAGATAAAACTGGCTGCTCCGTGTCTGCTGGCCTCGGTGTACCCTGCGGCTCCAGCTCCTGCCAGGGATTTCAGCCTGGTGTGCACTTTTCATTAACAGTAAACTCTGGAAACCGGAAAAGCTGCCTCAGGACACATGGCCCGGGCTGCCGCAAGGACAGTGGTATCCCCTGAAGAGGGCACAGGGTTTTCTCATTTTAAAAAGAGTGGGGGGAGGAATGGAAAAGGAAGGTGCTTTGACAGGGAAAGAAACAAGTTCACACCCCAAAAAGCCTGATGCCAAAGACGAAAGGAGGTGGAAGCTACGGTCCCTTCAGTGACTGGCAGAAGGTGTGGGTCACCACCTCCCACAAATCAAAGAACCGCTTAGGTGACAGGCTTCTTCCCTTCCCAGCTGCTGACTCGGCGTGGGAGAGACATAAACACAGTTCAGTTCACCACACTTCAGTACGCCAAACATCACCAAGCAGCTTCCATCGCTAAGTCCTGCTGCTCCTCCCTCCCAAATATATCCCAACTCTGTCCACCTGTCTCACATCCCCAGCCACCCCCTGCTCCAAATCCCCATGCTCTCTGATCCCCTGTCTTTCATTCTTGGCCCTCTGCTGGCTGCATTTGGAGGGGCCTCGGGGACAGTTCCCAGGGCCTAGTCCATGGGCCACGTGCCCCGTGAGACACTCTGGAGGAAAATGCTGCTCCACGACCAAACAGAGGTAATGTGTTTGGAAAACGCTACTATTCGATCTTCCTTAGAGAAGTCTGGCTTCTTTAATTCAAGAGTTTTGCAGGTTGATTTGGTCATTTCAATATTTCTATTGAAATCCAGAGGAACAAGCCAGGAGCCAGCGTAGGAAGCACTGGGTGAATGAGATGCTATCTGAGTGATACAATCAGCCCCTCACTGCTGCACAAGGGGCTGGTGGGCAGCCCGGTCAGAGAAACATCAGAGTGGCTGGCCTGGCTCTGGAACATGGAACGCACCCCCACTGCTCCCCTAGGAAGCAGCCAGAGTCACATGGTCGAGGTTCTGCTTGTAACTCTGGATTAGCTAAAGGCAAACAAACAACAGTTCTAGCCTTGGAGCATCAGGGATGCACCCAGAAGACCATGTGGTATCTGTACTGGAGTTTCTTGAGGCCTTCCTGATAAAAGCAGCTCTTCTGAAGGTGTACTGTGTGCGGGCACTCTGCTAAATCGAATTCTGCGTGAATTATGTCCCGTGGCTTTGGTCCTTCCAGTATCCCCACTCCACTGATGAGAGAGCCTGGGTGCAAAGAGGTTAATTAGTAACTGCCATGGCCCCGGGGTCTGTATGAGGCACAGCCAGGCCTGAGCCCACCCCACGCTGGGTGGACTCTGATGCATACCCCATGGTCTTAGCCACTGGACTAAAATTCACATGCAATAATGCCCCTGAGCCCCAGTCTCCTCATCAGGCGAGTGAGCCTAGATCCCCTCGCATAGTTACGGGGCATTCAGTGAGTTCCCGGGGCCAGCGTCCTTCGCACAATGCCTCGGCCAGTGCTCAATAAATGGAAGCTATTCTCATGATTACTTCATCTGCGTCTTAGGCAGCTCCGGCAAAACAAAACCCCAAGCCTTGCCTCTCCTCACCAGCATCTCTCTTTAAAACACGTTGTTGCTGCCGCAGAACCACAGGACTTTCATGCAGAAAGAACCTTAGAGATCAACTATTATTTTCCCAGAACGACCCAGGATTTATAATGTAGGAGAGCAAAGCCTTGGGAATCTGTGCTGAAGAATGACCGGCTTCCGCACCCTGGGCCCAGGGCCCCTTGCCCGCAGTCGGGGCACTATCAGCGAGGCGACAGGACCGCTCTCGGCCATTCTGTGGCAGAAAGGGCTGCTTCCCTTGGGCACTTTGACAACTGGTTATTTATAAGCCCAGAAATCTTGTCTGTGTTTATGTTATTAGTCACTAAGCAAAAGCTTATTTTCCACCAGTTGGGAAGGGTTTCCTTTCTGAAAAATGAAAGCCTGTGTCTCTTGGCCAGACAGTTTTACCCAGAAGCCTGGTGGCTCCAGAGTGGTAAGGAAAACTATGGCCCTTGACATACCAGGCCCACCAGGAGAATGAAAGCCCTGAATAGCAACTTAGCTCAGCCGGACTCAGCCCACAGCACTGGGGCCATGTCCATCTGGTGCAGGTCTGAGCTTCCAGTACAACACCAAATGTTTATGAAGCACCCCTGTGTGGATGGCAGTGGGAAGAGACACTAAAGGAAGTCTTCACAAGACTGAGAAGGGGCGGAGAGGCTGGCCCAGGAGCAGGTGCCAGGGATTAAGAGAAGAAAAAGAGAAGAAGCGAGCTGTAACTGCAACACAGCAGCCCGGAACGCCCACAGGGAGCTCTGCAGGAGTCAGACACACATCGCCCATAACAACAAATACATGGAACAAAGAACAGGGCAGCATCCAGGACCCTGGACCTGTGAAGTAGCCCACGGCTCCCTTCTCCCCAAGAGCCTCCCCAGTGACTGCCCCTTCCCCAGAAGCCTTAGTCATAATAACAAGAGTTAACATTTATTGAGTGGTGACTGCGTGCCACGGATTGTCACACTTAATACCAACAGTCCTATGAGACAGGTATTACGACAACTCCTGCTTCAGAAAGAGGGAGCCAGCATTCAGATGAAGAAACGAGGGGGCCAACACCCATGTCCTCCTTCCATCATTCCCCATCTCCCCACACATACACACACAGCACGAATATCATCAATATAAGCCAATAGCATAGACCAGATTGGCATTCCAAGTTTCCTAAGAATGAAATCATGCAGGACAATGCCTTTTGTGTCTGGCTTCATTAGCTCAATTCTGCATTTGTAAGAATAATCCACCTTGTTCCACGTTGTCCAAGTTGGTTGACCCTCGTTGCTATGGTGTTCTC